ACAGACATACATTTACAAAATAGCATAAGAACAATACAAACAAAACAGAGTTACAGACAAAGTTGTAGGAAAAGAGAATTTTATTATATCAAGTTTCAAAACACTGATCCAGATAAGCTTTTTACTTTCCTAGCTTTAATTATGACAAGGATAAATAATATCAAAAAGAATAGTATTTTTGTATAGTAAGTTCATATATTAAATATTATAATTTCCTCACTAGCACCATTTTAACTCATTATTTAAATGATTAGTATGTGCAAGTGTATATTTAAATGCTGTGTTTATATTAAGCCCTGGAGTGTTATCTCAGGAAAACACAACTTTATGTAATTAATGAGCAAAACCCTGAACTGGTATTACTGAAATGGGCTTGCTCTACTTACTCTCCTTTTTGTATCAAAGGGGAGCTTTGATTGATGTGCTTACTTTTTCTCTGTGAATGTCTAGTTTGAGTTAAAGAGAAATGAATAAAATGTGACTAAAGTATGAAGCGGTAGTATAGTAAAAGAGTGTGGGTGTTTCTTAACTTGCAGGCAGAACTCATCTTTTAATCATGTCTTGATTACATTCTCACTTCTTTTTTTTTTTTTTTTAATCCGGTACCGGGAATCAAACTCACAGACTTGCGCTTGCCAGGCAGGCGCTGTGTCGCTGAGCTAAATCCCCAGCCACTCATTTTAACTTCTGACCATCATAAAAACTCAATTACAGAACATTTTTGACAGAAAGTGCCATCTTTTTTACCTTTTTATTTTGTACTGGTAAATAAATAAATATATATAGAGAGAAATAAACGACATAGGTATAGATATAGATATATTTGCCTACATGAATTCATTGCGTAATTCTCAAATCAGAGTAAACTTAGTTCCTCAAATATTTATGATACTTTCTGGTGAAAATGATCAAAATCTCTCTTTTTCTTTACTTTTTAAAAGTAACAGTATGATACCATATTCGATGCTTTCATTTCAAGTGTCAGCGCAGGAAAACTTCCCAGCCTAACTAACTAGAATTTTGTTTACGTTTATCAACTTCACATCATCGCTGTCAACATTGTTCTCTCTCATGTGATTTCAAGTTTTGTAGTTTAGAGCCTCACAACCAAATTTAATCGAGACATATAATTATGAAAGTCTATTTAAACATTTTAAGTACTCTTTGAGATGTCCGTTAATATATTGTCTGGAATGTTGCAGATGAAGAAAGAAATTTATATACATCTTTCCTTTCATTTCAGAAATTCCTTTGGGTGCCTTGTATGCATTTGAGAGAGAAAGAGAGAGAGTGAGAGAGGGAGACACAGAGAGAGAGAGAGTCTCTGTGTTTGTGTATGTTATTTTATAATACTGGACACTGAATACAAAGTTTTTATTCAGCCCTTTATGTTTTTAAATATGAGATAAGTCCTCCCTGTGTTGTCCTGACTGGGTTTACTCAAGATCTTCCTCCTCAACCTCCCAGAGTGTCAGGATTGCGGCTGCGCGCCAATGCACCCAGCAGCTGTGTCCATATACTATTTAGACCCCTTTTATCATCACTGTCCAGATTTAACTCTAGTCTGAGCTTATGGTAACTTATGAGTTTCCATGTGTGGTGAGTTAGTCCCCTCTGCTTTACAAGTAACACAGCGTGTTTGCTATCTACTATATAACTGATGCAATGAGACGAACTGCTAATTCTGCAAGAGTGAGGGAAATCACAGTAATTTTAAAATGCTCCAACTCTAACCCCACATCACGAGCACAGGGAAAATCACACATGTAAGGGATGTACAATCTGTATCTGGTCGTGATGCCTGCAGATTGGATTGGAGCTGGGGTTGTGCCTTGAGAATGCGTCTAGTTAAAGCAACCAAGTACACTCTTCAAAGATTGATAAGTTAGGCTAGGGAATCAAATTTTGTGAATCATTGAATTAGAATATTAAAAGAATTACATACTAAATGTATAGAATATCAAAAGGAATGTAAAGTATAACTTTAAAGCTAAAGAAAAACATACTAAGATAAATGATAACGTCAATATCCTCAAATATGTAAAATATGCACTCACAGACACACACACAAACACTAAGGAAGGGGCTGGGGATTTAGCTCAGCGGCACAGCGCCTGCCCGGCAAGTGCAAGGTTGTGAGTTTGATTCCCGGTACCAGAAAAAAAAAACAAAAAGCAAAACAAAACAAACACTAAGGAAAAGATTGAATGGAATAAACAATGTGAGGAATAGTAACAATTAGTGAGGAAGTGAATAATTTAGTGAAATCATAGAGATGAGTTTTGGTTGATGCTACTTCCATACCATAAACACACCATTGAAATCTGCCCATTCTAATTAGAGTTGCTTCCTAAGTTATGGATTTTTGCTGAACCTTTCAATGTTGAGCTTTCTCAAAAAGGATGCAGGACTTGGAGGTCATTGCTCTCCATTAAAATGTCTTGATAAATTTTATACTGACTAATTTCATAACTCTCATATGAAAATTCAAATAAAATTAGAAAATTAAATAATATTCCATGTTTCATGGTTAGTATATTATTAGTTCTTAGCATTAAAGAAGCATGTCATATAGAAAACAAAATCTGACTGTAGGAAGAAATAAAATAAACATTCACTGTACTAATTTCTAAGAATTATTCTGTATTTCAGAAAAATGTTTACTTAAAACATACTGTTAATTTTGAAATGAATCTGATAGGAAAGGACTTGGACAATGGAGGACAAATTGAGGTCAATAAATGAAATTAAGCATTGCTATACTGAAGATTAACACAGGGTTTGAGATTTTGGAAATTAAAATAATTGTAAAATTTCAAATTATGTACCTAATCACAAATATAATTTCTCCTTGGAAGGAAAAAGGATCATACATCGTATCTTTAATAACAAAAAATAAAGGCTCTGAGTTTAGACCTCATAGATTTTTATTTTTTGTTCCTTTAAAGAACAGGGAAAATCACAGTGTGTGCCAGCTTTATATTAAAAATTATTGAGTAAAGTCAAAGACAATGACATGACTTGAGCATCTTATGGTTTTTCACAGATGACACATGAACGCATAAATGCGCAAGGCAATGTTTCCACAGCGGGGCACTTTGTTCTGCTGGGATTCTCGGACCTTCCAAACCTCCGGGGCTTTCTGTCTGGGCTGTTCGCCGTCATGTACTTGGCTGTCCTCTTTGGAAACAGCCTCATAATCCTAATAATAAGGCTGGACCCTGCCCTCCACAGACCCATGTATGTTTTTCTGGCAATTTTTTCTTCTTTGGAAATCTGTTATGTTTCAGTCACTCTTCCCAGGATGTTGTTCAACCTCTGGACTCAAAGGAGAACTATTTCTAGGCTTGCTTGTGCCACACATCTGTGTTTCTTCCTTGTCCTTGGAGCCACTGAGTGTTTCCTGCTGGCCGTGATGTCCTACGACCGCTACGTGGCCATCTGTAACCCTCTGCACTATGCTCTGCTCATGAACCCAAAGAGGTGCGCTCAGCTGGCCGCTGGCTCCTGGCTCGGGGGGATCCCAGTGCAGATAGGGCAAACATGCCAGATATTCTCTCTGCATTTCTGTAATTCCAACCAAATTGAGCACTTCTTCTGTGACATCCCCCCCATTCTCAAGCTGGCCTGCGGGGACACATCTGCTCATGAGGTGTCTGTCTATGTGGTAGTCATGTTGGTTGCTGCAGTTCCTTTCATTCTGATCCTTGCCTCTTACAGCAAAATCATTTCCACCATTCTGAGGCTGCCCACAGCCAAGGGACGGGCCAAGGCCTTCTCCACCTGCTCTTCCCACCTGTTAGTTGTGGTTCTATTTTTTGGATCTGGTACCATTACCTACCTAAGGCCCAAATCCAGCCATTCTGCAGGAACCGACAAGCTGCTGTCTCTTTTCTACACTATCGTGACACCCATGCTCAACCCCATGATATACAGCCTCAGGAACAAGGACGTGATTGCTGCACTGGAAAAATTATTCCTTAGAACACACTGTCATGATTCTTAATGTTTTGGTTATGTAGTTATCAGAGAAACATTTTCACACTATGCAGTCTCTTTGGGAAGTTTATCACCTGTCGTTTGTAATGTATTTTCATTGCATTTATATATTGGCTGGTAATTTACTGTGCTTGTATATATAGCAGGTGCATTCAACTGTCTTCTTAAAGCCATGCCTAAGTATATTTTCCCTTAAATTATAATAGATGGGATGTCACATTTTCCCTGTCAGTATATAAATTCAAAACGCTGTCTTGTAGGTTCAATTTAATGGAGATTATTTTCCTGATTGTGCGTACCTTGTTTGTATTTGCTGACTTTTTAAAATCTATAGTATAAAATAGTAATTACCAACAGTACTTAAAAACCTAATGCTTCTTATGAGACGAGTTCAGTGAGTGAGTAAATAACAGAATGAATTCTGGGGAAATCTAGAGATTTTACAGAGTCAGCATTAAAATGAATTTATTTAACTAACTGTGTAGGAACATATAATTCTTTTTCATTGCTACCAGGAGAACAAATCTGATCGCTTAGCCATCCACTGAAAAATTTCCTGGGAAGACACAAGATACAAAGCAACACTCCTATTTGACTAAAATGGTTTTATTTTGTTCATGTATTTCCCTGATTTCCATATAATAATCAAGTAATCTCTTTTCAACAATTTACTCTTTCAACCAAAACACAAATATGTAGACATTGTTATACCTATACATACTTCCAAATGTGTTGTAAATTATTTCCATGTTTACTTGATGTTTTCTTATATTTAATGCACTAATGCACCTAAAATTTTTCACTGTAATCCTGGTTAAAGTATATAAAGTCTCCTAAAATTTAATCTGATAGTATTGTGGAAATTGAGCATGTTTCAAAAGAACCCCCAGTGTTCCACCTGTGAATACAAAAGTCTTGGAAACATAATCCACATTTAGAAAAAGTTGTTGCTGTATTTCTTTTGACAATTATTCCCATCTGTAGTTTTAACTCTTATTGTGAGCACATATGCAAAGCTGTGATAAGAACAATCTTAGCTTTTCTTCTGAAGGTAGTTGCATTTCTCTTTTATTTACCCATTTTTATTTTTTACTATCTAACATGTGATGTTAAATATTATTCATATAGTTTTCCATGTAAATCTCTGTGTATTCCTGCCTTATCACACAGTGTTTTATAGGACTCAAGGATTTGCATCTGATACACGAGAAAGACCATTTCAAAGGGCACTGTGATGGGAAAGATAGTAGATATGGTGGAAATGGTTCCATTCATCCTCCATTTCCTGTACTTTATAAAGTAGGATTTACCACGCTGTGGGTAAGGTAGTGTCTAATGAATTGAGATAACTGAATTTTAATCTCTTCTTTATGGAAAGTGTTGAGTAGTTAAATATCATTGAATGGCTTTCCCATAACATTTATATAGTAAAATGGTGATAATGCACTTGATCTTACTAACCCATAGGATCATTTTTGAGTCAAGTCTCATATCTAGGACTAACAAAAAATGGAAAAGTTTTGTTAGAGCAAACTTTTGTGTTGACTCTATAAAGATACAAAAATAGAGACATCACTGTTGATATTTTATTATATTTCTGTTCATTCATTTAAACATAGAATGCTACTCAGAGGAAAGTGATATTTGTTAATACCAATAATGTGGAAATTAACACCACTCGCATGCATATTCTCATATTTTACCATCCAGTAACGCAAAAATCTTACCCATCTCTAATATATCCTTTCTTTAAGATAGTCTTTTAAAAAAGAGGTTAAAAATGTAAAAAAAAAAACTATCATTTAACATGGAAACAGTACAGTTTGAGTCCTGAGCGGTTTATCAGCAATACCAGGTGACATCATCATAGGATGCCTCAGTGAATAATAAATTATACTAGTTAGGGACATAGTCAAATGGGAATGTAAACTAGTACATGCACTATGGAAATCAGTGTAGAGATTCCTCAAAAACTGAAAATAGAAATTCCATTTGATTGTGCTATTCTCCTTCTAGGTATCATCCCAGGAGTGCTAAAGTCATCACGTTAGAGGGATATGTGCATACCTATGTTTATACCAGCACTATTTATGATAGCTGGGTCTTGGGAGCAGCCTTTACATCCATCACTAGGAGAATGGATAAAGAAAAAGCAGTACTGATTGGCTGTGGAGTACTAGTCTACCATAAATAAAGATAAAATTGAGGCATTTGCACACAAATGGTGTAATTTCAGAACATAAGGTTACGTGCCATATGTCAGAGACACAAGCTTAAATATCACTTGGCTTCACTTATATGAATTATAAAAATATATCATAACTGAAAAAAGCTACATAGGAAATAAAGAGAATTTCAAATAATTCCGCAATTTATCTATTTCGTTGTTTGAAAAATATTTTAAGATATATGGTAAATTATTTTGTGTGTACTACTAGTTGTTTTTATTCATGGTAAATAAAGTTTAATCTTTTTCTTTCCCTTTAAGTTTTCTTCTGGTTTTGTCTATGTCTACGTCTATGATTTGTATGAGTTGTACTGAGTAACACTGTGGCCATTCTTTCAATATTGTAATACACAGTATATTAGCAATGCTTATTCTCTAGCAACTGTGTTGTGGAATTTTTTTTCTTTATGGAAGTAAGAACACGATTTTATATTTTCTTTATTAACACCGACTTGCATAACATTAAAATAACAGCAGAATGCCATATATATGAGTCTCCTCTCCATTCAGGTATTGTCATTCCCTGGACCGCAGCTTCAGACAAACCAGAAGCCTCCTCTCCACTACATCTGAACGCGCTGTGTCACATGGCAAAGGGCCTTGCAGAGATCATTCATGTTTTAAGCCTTGCAACAGGGAGAGTGTGCAGGGTGTCCCAACCTCATCACAGGAGGCCTGAAAAGAGAAGGAAAAAGGCATCAGTGCTGGCCCTAGGCAGAAAAAATAAAAGAAAAAAGAAAAATGAAAATGTCCAGCACAGCAATGCCAAGCGCTAAAATCACATCAGGAAGAACATTGAAGGTTGTGAGTCTGAGGACAGTCTGGACTCCATAGTAAGACCCTGCCCATAAAATAGAAAAAATTAGTATGAATGTGATACACGTCACAGCGCTTGCTGAAGTGATCCACTGTATGTGTTGACTTGCCCAGGGGGTATCCAGATGTTTGGTCAATCATTATTAAGTTTGTTCTTATGAAGATGTTTTCCAATTAAATTAAAGCTTAACTTACTAACCTGAGTAAAGGATTTTGCCCTAGCTCATGTAGGAGAGCACATTCTAGTTGATGTGGTTTCTCTTGTCTGACTGCCTGAAAAGCACAACAGATATGATTCAGCCTGTGGATGTGAACTGGGGCATGAGATTGTGCTGGGTCTCAAGCCAAGCGACCTTTAAACAGATCTACACAAGCAGCCACTTTGACACATTTGTAACTATATTGGAATTAAACATTTGCTCTTCTAGAGTATATTATTTTATATGATGAGCATCATATACTGTCATAAACACTGCACATTATATGCAATAACTATTATAGCTTAATAATGAAAGAAAGTATTGGGAGAACTGTAACTAATTTTTGAAAATAATTTTTTCTTCTTATATGTCAGTTTCCCCAAAGAGAGAACAAATGGTGGGAGAGAGAGGGGGTGGAGAGAGACACTGGCTGATAGGGAGACACATACACTGATACACACAGGTAGGTGATTTTCCTAATTGAGTCATTGCAGAGGCACTATCAGCTTTTGATTGTGATTGCAGCAGTGCAAGTGAAGGTAACAAATATCAGATCACATAAATGCGCACATTCCACTGGGCCCAAGCTAACACTGAAACCAAATTGTTGCTAAGCCTCAAGCAATGCTTTATGTTTCTAAATAAATGATTAAATTCTAAAACATGCACAGTAGTGAGAACATCACCACTGCATTCCAGTAACACTGCATGTCCTGGACATTCTCAGAGGTGATGAGGTCAGAGAACACCCTAGAGACGAGCTCAGCCTTCTGGTCAGCCACAGGCTTCCCTGTGCTCTCATCATAGAAGGATTTTAGTGATTAGATGAGATAAAGAAAGCGCTTGGGATTGGCACCTTCATAGTATTTATTACAGACAGAAGAGCTTGAGCCAGAAACATTTTAAAATTCCTTTGCAGACCCTGGGGCAGTGCCAACATAATAACCGAATATTTTGCTTGTTATTATTTTTATCTATTTCCATGTCCATCCTCCAAGGAGAAGATAAGATTTCTTGTTTTTTTGATTTAAATTTCAGTTTCCTTCAATTCCTGGTGACATTTTGAGTTTCTAAAAGCAGAGATTGATAGGAAACCGCTGAAGAGTAAAGGGCAACTGGGATGTGGGAAAAGAGAAGGGAAAGAAGGAGAAATTTTGTATGTATGTATATACATGACAGTTAACATGGTTGTTCTTCTGTCTTCTATTTCTATGCTGAAAGAAACTGTCAATGAGTCTTTGGTTGACCAGTATTGCATGTCATATCTGTTTTCACGAGAAGCCACTTTGAAGATATCAATATGTAATACAACCACCATTGTTAATTCCCTACCACTTTGTTTGTAACTCTGTATTGTCTGTATTGTGCTTGTGATATGTTGTAAAATGTTGTATGTCTGTTAATGTTTCCCTCCTTTTATCTTTAAAATAAAAAAAATAAAATAAAAGCAGAGATTGAAAGTTCTGACTGAATTCTGTGAGTTTTTCTAAAATACAAGTGATAGCCTCTCTTTATTTTTATGTGCTCACAATATGTAACCTATTCAGTGACAATGTAGTAATTTGTTTTGATTAGAAATTAACTTTTAACCATTTTTAACCAACATTATATAGTCAGCGATGTATACTAACTGAGTCTTTATTTTAGGTCAGAGATTGACACAGAAGGTAAAGAGAGAGGAACAACTGGTGAATTAACTTATCCAGCTTGTTTGAGAAGCTGAGGAAATGCCCTACTCTCCTTACTGTAAAAATACACTCACACTGATACTGACTGACAGCTTTGCTGCTATGACCATTAGAGTCCTGGCCTTTGTAGGCCTTCATTATTCACCATTGCTCCCGAATACTTATGGATTTCCTACAGTTACCACTCTACTCTTTATTATTGGGAGTGTACTTTTTGTGCTTTTTTAATGTCTCCATCTGAGTGTGATCACGCAGTGTTCGTCCTCTGTGTCTGCTTCACTTCACTAACACAACGTCTTCTACATGCATCCTGATGTTGGCTCGAACTCTATCACAATCTTGAGGATCTCGGAAGGGGCTCGTTCTCCAGGTTAGCTGTCCACGCTTCAGTACATTTTCTCTACATCCCTTTCCACTTTCTCGTCCGTCATAAATTCCATCTTCTGCTCAGACCCCTCCGTCGGCCAAATACTTTCCCACTGCCGTATTCAGCGAGGCGAGCAGCCGCATTGTCATCCTCACTGCTTATCCTTGCGTCTTTGTCATTGTCTTGAGCACACCCTCATGCGGTGGGTGCTCGAAAGCTTTCTCCTCCTGTGCATCCTGTATGACGCCCTCACCATCCTCCAAGGCACCATCGCGTTCCTGTACTGCGTGCCCAGTGCCGTGAACTCATGGCTCATGGTTAGAATCCGTTCTGTGCTTTGCATAGCTGTGATCCCCTGCTGAACCCTCGGATCTACAGCCTGAGGAGCAAGGATGTGAAGCACAGCGTCAGGAAAGTGATGACTCTCCGCACACTGGTGCTGAGCGTGGCTGTGTCCAGAGGGATTCAGTTCACGGTACTGCAGATTTTTCAGCATTTCTAGCAGAGATTATAGGTGAAATTATTCTGTCAGCGTGCTAGTCATATTTTAAAATTATTGTATAAAACAATCTAGGAAACACATAAACTTCACCAGGGTTCTGGATAATAACTACTTAATATACTGTTAAGAACGTTTTCAGATCATGCGAGTTAAGTATTTTCACCTAGGGAATAATATAGAAATTTTATGTTTTAATTCTCCTTCAGGAAATTGTGTATTTCTGTGTGTGTGTGTGTGTGTCTGTGTGTGTCCTCCTGGGGATGATGGTATGTACGCTTTTCTTCTAAGAATAAACTAATTATAAATTAAACATTATCAATAATTACCTTTCAGAATAAATTAGTCTGTTACATATGCATGATGCATTGCCTGGTATAAGGATAAAGGATGAACTATTTTGATCTTCAGGCTATAAATAAAATAGGACAGAAGCTCACAAAGTACAATGTAGGAAGGAAGAGGGATAAAAGCCTAAGTAGGCTTATCTGTTTCTTTTAAACTTAGAACACCTAACCAAATCACTAGAATTTCTATCAATCCAAAAGTAATAGAAATCTATACATTTCAAATTAATAAATTATTTCCTGCATTAATAGTATCACACCACTTTTATGAATGGACATAAATTCAGGAAGGGGATTAAAATGGTCTATATTTTACTAGTTTTTTGAGGAGTGGTTTGTATAAAGTGTGGACATTTTAGTAGGATGGTATGTAACTTCAAAAATATGCTAATTAACCTCATGTTCTTTACTAAGATATTTCTGAGTTCATGATTTTCCACACAGGCTCTCTCACATTCTCATACCTCATGTTACATGGGTGTGAGTTCAACATCGGTATGAGCACAGGAATGACATTGAACCTACTTTCCAGGACCTCATCCGCTTCTTGAGCTGGTACATTATATGCAGGATGGATGCTGCTGCTGAGGGAGACATAGGAGGGAGGATTTGATGACCGCTGGTGTGAAAAATGTTTAGGACAGAGCTGAAAATGTCATGGAACAGATGATGATGAGATTTCTTAATCATCAAGTAGCATTAAAATACAGGCTAACTATAGGACGTGAACATGATATAAAATGCAAGAGACTATTTATACAAAATGTTCAGAGTAAGCTGGAACCCCAGTAGGCAGTGCTGAGGGAGAGTGAATATCAGGAAGCAGATCCGATGCCCCGGTGGAGAAACATTTCAGCCTGTTGAATGGAGCACAGCTGCCGAAATGGCAATTGTGCAAATCTCTCAAAATACACAAACTTTTAAAGGGTATGCGAGCAGATAGTTAACAGTTATGAGCGTGAGTTATCAAAGAGTTTGAGACAAGACCACAGCAAGATATTTATTTGGGAGAGATGAATAAGTAAAGAGTGTGATCAGCTCATTAAGGAGAAAAGTTTTTTCAACAGCAGTCCAATCCTCAGACTGAACTCATCTTAGCAAAGGTGGAGACTGGTTCTCTTCAAGAGGCTGCAGAGCTGGTCCTTCTTCACGTGCGGGGCAAAAGGCTGGAGCAAATCTATCTTGTTATTTCAGAAAGAAGCAGAGGAAGCCTACATTCCTACATCCTTTTCTTCAGTAAAAATGACTCACACTTTGAATGAAATATAAAATAAGTATGTTTGTACATTGTGCAACATCTAAAAGCCGTTTTAAAAACTGTTCCAGAAAAGACAGAAAAAATAAGATAGGGTTTCACAGTTTGCAAATAGAATACTGAGCTACTGGTAAACATATTTAGCTTTAGATAGAATATAGAAATTAGATGCATGAACGTATTGCCAGTGTCTTTAAGAGTGAATATACATAATGCCAACACCATTTTTTTCTCTGACAGCACTAGAATTGAAATACAAGTTATGCTGCATTTCACAAAGTCTCAGTACACACCTAGGGACTGACTGTGAGCTGTTTCCTGTTGTGTCTGTTTTAAGTCAAACACATACACATACACACACACACACACATGCCCTCTGGCAAAATATAATTTATGGCAATATGAAAATATCAGTGCACACATATAATGTGATAAAGTATTTGTTCATCCAGATTTTGCAAAAGGTAATCTTCACTTTCCATGATTTGGCAGGGAAAGGAGAAGACAGACACAGGCTTTTTGCCTTGTGACTTGTATTTCTCTGTCTCTCTGCGTGTGTGCACGTATCCTCTAATTGGTGAATATGAAACCCGCCACATGCTGAGCTATGAGCGGGAGGGTGTGGCTTCCCAGAAACAGTGCACAATGCAATTTGTTAATAATTTTCTGAAGTTTCCAGGTTTTATCTACCAATAAGGTGAATGTTTACATTTTCAACATGCATTTTAGTAAAACATAAATTGTCTTTAATCCTCCCTCAAAATATGCCCTCGGTCTATGAACCCACACATCTGACCTTCTCTTAGGGAAATGTGCTTAGCTGTGCTACCACGGAGCCTCAATGACCTGAATTTACTCGAAAAATGTCCTTTCATGGCCACTTTAACCTTGGGCAAGAGCTGAAAGTAGGTGCAGGACGCCAGACTGAGTGAGAAACTGGAGGAGAAGGCGAATGTGATACAGAAGGTTAAGTGACACATCGTTTCTCGTACATTTCTTTAAAAACTGAAAGGATAAGTAATTTAAAGACCAAAGTAAAAAATAATGATATACAGAGAGAAGGTAGAATTGGTAGAGATGGGAAGTGAATCTGAACATGAGGAAGACGGGAGGGAGTGGGGGAAGGAGGGAGGTAAACAGAATCAAGGGGTGAGATGCACATGCGCTAATGCCTGCCATGTACGAGTTACGTAATGCAAACATATGCTGATAAAATCATTAAAAAACAAAACTAGGTTGAAACACGGTGGATAAGTCCACATCACAGTGATTTTATTTGATAAAAATTGCTCTAAAACATTTGAATGGGGGCTGGGGATTTAGCTCAGCGGCAAAAGCGCCTGTCTGGCAAGTGCAAGGTCGTGAGTTCGGTTCCTGGTACCGGAGAAAAACCAAAAAAACCAAAAAAAAAAAAAATTGAATGTTTCACGATGTCTAGATAAACCATGGAAAGACAGCTGCTCCTACTCTCAAAATGGGTCACATTGTTTACCAGAATTTAGGATGCCTTTTGGTCACTGCTTAGCGGCTCACAGAGATGCTCTTCCCGCAGGTTATAAGGAGAATGTCACAGCTACCTGAAACAGTTTATACTGGTAAAAGCAATGAAAGGTCAGCAAAGTTTCAGTGGGAGGACAAACAAAACTGGGTCTCTAAGGAAGAGGCTTCCAAAAGGACACCACGTTTAATCTGGCCAGGTTATTACTGGCCCATTCTGGAGTTGTGAAATTTCTTATTACAATGACTTTTATTTTTTAGACTCTAACCTTACAAATAAATAGTTGAGTACGTGTGATCTCTTTACTTGCATTCTTTCCTTTACATTTCAATTTTTTGCTCTACGAAGACCTAACTCAACCATCCGAAAAAGCAATGCATGAGAAGCACACACACAGAAACAGAGCTGCAGACATTCCAGTGGGGCCACTGTAGGAACAGGGTGGGCTCTGGTCCTCTGGAGGTCACCCAGTCCCCCAGGCATCACAGTAGTGGACCAGCGTTTAAGCAATGTGAAGAACTTCGCACTGTCTGTGAAGATGCTTGCAGAATTTAGAAGGCAAATTTTCATGAATTTTCAATTTTATGAAGAACAATCATGAGTAAAAGCAAATGAAATCTTTTTTGAAACAAACGTGGAACTCTATATATTTTAGAAAAACCATTTTCACCCATAATGCTTAAATAACTTTCGTACACTATGAATTATGCTCACAGGGTACAGTCCCCAAGTACAATGAATTTCTATTCTTTGTTCAGTATGTTCCACTGTAGAAGGTCTGGAACAGGTAACAATGAATACTTGATAAGGAGTTCCCTCTCCAAATTCAAAATACAAAAATTTTAAGCATCAGTGGTAGTCCCAAAGACTTAGAGGTAGCAGAGAAATTATTTAAATGACTTAAGCAGAGCTAAAAAATAATACACATTCATTTCTTCTGAACGTAGAAGATGTGGTCCAGTCATACCCTTAGTGAAATGCAGAAGGATGACAAGGGACCAGAGATGGGAACATTCTAGGAACTGTGGTGACAGAAGGCCGTGAGTAAAGGAATATCCATGGCACGCTCAGCCCTGGGAGCTAAGAGTAGGAACAGCCTACAAGCCCTGTAATGATGAACAGATAAAGAAAAACATGTCATACCTGTAAAACAATATATCATTTATCCATCTAAGGGAAGGTTATTCTGAAAAATTTCTCAGTGTGGGTAAATATTTACAGCAGCATGGTAAATGAAAGACTACCAGAAAAAGCCCAGATTGAGGGCATCTGTTGATATTTGCCTCCAGGATAGATGAACACATGGAGTCAGAAAGCAGCTGAGAGTTGCCAGCACTGGGGGGAAAGTGGAGGGTGAAATCACTCTTGCTCCATGTGTGTCTCCTTTGTGCTGATGAGAAATTCTCAACAAGTAGACCGTGGTATTCACTCCGCAGGCTTTGGCCTGTGCTACACACCGAAGAAAGGTTGAGTGTGGATTTTGTAGTCCATATAGTATATCTCTGTAAACATATCTTTGAAAAATAGCAATCGTTCAGTAATTTAGGAAACAAAGAATGTGAGCACTTGAAGTACAAATGAAGAAAAGTGAGGTTTAATAATAATTCTTTGGGGAGGGGCTGCAGAGGGTTAATTACACTCTGCTCCTGGTAGACTAGGTTGAGACAGATAATGTTTTAGACCAGAAAACTTGTATGAATTGTACATATTATATAGTATAAAATTAATTAATTGTTTCATTCTAACATGACTTTGTAACTCTATTAAGCACTTAAGCTCTACCTGAGCTTCTTTTAGGTCTGTAGTCTCAGGGGGAAACACAGATCCAAAAATACAATTAATAACATGTTTGCACAAGAGCAAAGCCCAATAAAAGTAGCTTCAGAGAGTTAAGTCCCAAAAGCTTCCGTTATAATAAAATGCTATCGGCCTAATAATGTTCAGTTACCACAGCACCACTCACCTCAGGTATGTTCTTGAGTTTCCCAATTAAAAAATAATATAAAAAAAGAAATGAAAAAGCATAACTTGATTGGAAAAAACTTAGAGATTTTATGCCAAAGTGTTTAGTGGAACACAATCTGAAAACTAATTTTTAAAGTTGACAGTTTCTCCTCAAGATTAAAAGATTCTAGCAGAACTTAGTAGTATCCACAGAATGTCCTTCTACTTATTTTCCTCTAATCTGAGTCACAGGCTTGTTTTGCTCATTTTATCATTTTGTAAGTACGTGTATAAATTTAGGAGACTGTTCTTGGCTAATTAATGCATATTTTCAAGATAACATTACAAATATGTACCATATTGGAAACAAGAATGTGTAAAATTTGAAGTCCACGTTTACCATATATTAAAGTAATCTAATCAAAATAATTAAACAAAAAGTCTCACAAATATACATCAATCACATTCCACTTCTCATATTTCAATTAAGAATCATGCACACAGGAAAAATACATCACGTAGTCATGAACATTCATACACACAGGAAGAGGAGCTACATGTTTCTAACTTATAATTGTTATTCATCTAGTTGTCAATTTTTATACACACAGTATTGCTATATGCAATAAAAGGATTCATAAAATGAGACAATGCAAACAGATAATGTAACAGATGAAATAACAGACAATGTAACAGATAAAATATACTTTTTCTACTTGTATTTTAGCATCTCTTTTGGAGCTAGCAGAAGACTAATCTTTTAGCTTTAAACTACCTCTATATTCAGCACTGAGCACTGTGATAAAATTCTAAGATATTTTTAGGGAAAAAGTCAATAATTTTTTGGTGTCTTCTCAAATACCAGAGAAACAGAAAACTAGAATAATAAAATTCCTCTTTATTTGTTAGTGATATCATTCTATATAACAAAATTAAATTATGTTTGGAAACCAGGAAGAATTATGAAAAAGATTAAAATCGTAATTTTTTCTGTCAATGAGTCTTGTAAGAAATCTAGCAAATGCTAAGTTGTATTTGTGAGCATGTAATTTCCCTCTAAATGGAAAATGTAGTTTCCCAAATTCATATTAGTTTGAAGATTTACTGAGATTTCAGCTCATCAAATATATATTAGCTGAAATAAGGGCAGCAAAAGGTCCAGAGAAATTAGAGAAGATATTAAAATGTACACATATTATCATTTATCCATAGATTTCACTCAAAATTTCTCAACTGTTATCTTGGACTGATTATTTAGTGTTCTCAAAAGCATCCTATCTATGGGTGTTGTGTTTGGATAAAAAAAAACACAGAAACAAAAGGAGTTCTGTCTTACAGATATTTTGCAATGCTCAGAAGGATTGAAATGTACCCATTAATTTTTTAAGTCTAGAGAACAAGAAGAATGGAGAGGGGAAACTGCTCTGCCGTGAACGAATTCGTTCTCCTGGGAATCACTGAGAACCCAGACGTCAGAGAGACACTTTTCACCATATTTCTCCTCGTTTATCTCATCAGTCTCTTAACGAACCTTGGCATGATCACTTTAATAAGAGCGGATCCCCACCTGCACACGCCCATGTATTTCTTCCTCAGCCACCTCTCCTTCTGCGACCTCTGCTATTCCACGGCCATCGGACCCAAGATGCTGGCGGGCTTCATGGCCGAGAGTAACTCAGTCCCTTTCCTGGGCTGCGCGCTGCAGTTTCTGACCTTCTGTGCCTTTGCAGACGCCGAGTGTCTGCTGCTGGCAGTGATGGCCTTTGACAGGTACCAGGCCATCAGCAAGCCCTTGCTCTACACGGCGCACATGTCCAGCAGGCTGTGCTCCCTGCTGGTGGCTGGGGTTTACCTGGTGGGATTCACAGACGCTCTCATCCACACCGCACTGACATTCCACTTGTGTTTCTGCGGGTCCAATGAGATTAATCATTTCTTCTGCGATGTTCCTCCTCTCCTTCTGCTATCTTGCTCTGATACACGGGTCAATGAGTTAGTGATATTTATCATTTTTGGTTTTATTGAATTGAGCACCGTTACAGAAGTACTTGTCTTCTACTGCTATATCATCTCATCAGTCTTGAAGATCCGCTCTGCGGAGGGAAGGTTCAAAGCTTTCTCCACCTGCGCCTCCCATCTCACTGCAGTTGCCATTTTCCAGGGAACCATACTCTTCATGTATTTTCGGCCAAGTTCTTCCTACTCCCTGGATCAGGACAAAGTGACCTCACTGTTTTACACCCTGGTGATTCCG